AGGGTGGTAGTTAAAAGGTTAAATATTAAAATAAATCTGTCAAATAATCACCATGGCTTAAAGGGATCGTTAACTCAAAACTGAAATTCCTGTCATTATCTCAGCCCCATGTGGCTCCAAAACTGTCTGCATTTCTCTCTTCTGTGTAACACAAAATATGATCATACAGGAAAATGGCTTAATGTTTTTTTTTTATCATTGTTTGTTTTTGGTCTATACAATAGAAGGGTGGTTTTGGACTCCAAGGACTTGATAGTATTTTTGTTATGTTCCACAGAAGAAAGGATGTCAAGTTTCTACCAACATAAATGAAGAATAATTAAATGAATGAATGTATATTAGGTGCCACTGTGTCCTGAGGCCAGGTTGAGCGGATGAGGAATTTCCCACGCTGCAGAAGGGCTTGGACTGTTCCTGTACTGAGAATCAACATCATGAAAGTGATCTTCCAGGCTCTGGGTTTAAGCCGGAGGTGTCAGACTGTCGTGAGATAGCTTAGCCTTACGTGTGTTCAGACATTTAGTGTGTGTGAGGAGTCACTGGAGCAAAGTTACCTTCACTCTAAAAAATGCTTGGGTTACATTTTTTAATTATCCCAACGTTTGGGTTTGTCCATATTTGACCTAAAATTGGGTTAAGACAACCCAGCATTTTTTAGAGTGTTCTGCAGCTCAAGGAATACAAAAATACATAATACCATAACTCAGACTAATGACAGACATATTCTTTTGTTTTAAAAAAAAATCGTCTCTTTTGGTTTCTGTAAAGCAATGTTGTTTTAATTACAATTTTATTTACATATAGATTATATATATAATTTTATTACGTAATAAAGTTGTTTTTTTATGGTTTTAGTCAATAATAAAAACTGTATATTGGAAAAAAAAATGAAATAAAAAAGACATTATTTAAACTTGTTGGGGCTAAATATTTCAGCGAAAGAAATTATATAAATGTACAGGTGAAACTAAAAAAATAAGAATATTCTGCAAAAGTTCATTTATCTCAGTTATTAAACTTAAAAGGTGAAACTAATATATTGTATAGACTCATTACATGCAAAGTGAGATATTTCAAGCCTTTACTTGTTATAATTTTGATGATTATGGCTTACAGCTTATGAAAACCCCATATTCAAAATTGGAATATTACATGAAATCAATAAAAATATAGATTTTTTTTTAAATAGAGAAATGTCAGCCCTCTGAAACGTATAGTCATGCATATGTTCTCAGTACTTGGTTTGGGCTCCTTTTGCATGAATTACTGCCTCAATGCGGCGTGGCATGTATGCCATCAGCCAAATATTATAATTTTTCGAGTTTCACCTGTATACAGAAAAATAACTCATTCAACTAATTCTTGCCATTAATTTCAAAATCAATACAGATAATTTTGTACTAATTTCCTCTCGGAGTCCTGTAAACTGTGGCGGTTTAGAGAGAGCAAGAGTTTGCTATGAGCAACAAACAGTATGGAGTCAATGTAGCACATTATGAAATCTACGTTCCCAGAGTGATGTAACGTTAATAATTACCACCAGAATAAAAAATAAGGCCCAAATTTACATAAAGGCAGTTGGGCTTAGCATTATCCTACAGAGCCGCAATATCAGAGAGTCATTTTGTATTCATTGCTTTTGGGAAAAAGCAGGACATTAATGGAGTTTCTAAGGGATTTAAAGGAAAACACAGCATGCAGCATCTGCGTTAATTTATAGCTTAGTTGCTTCATTTTATGAACAATTTCATTCACTCAGTGTCACGTTGAACACTTCTAAATCATTATTTTCAAATACATTTTAAAATATATTTTTCATGGTAAAAATGTATTTTCAAACGTTATACATGAATTATTAAAGTCACACCACATTTTACAACCTGAAGTAAATTAGAAATGGTCATCAAATCATCATTTTATAATTTTAAGAGTCTTAATTAATTTACCTTAACACACAGTCGTGCATGTCTACAGTAGTCCTCGGTTTACATTTACAATATTCTGAAATTTGCCGCCAAGTGAACAGACTTTCACAGGGCTTCAGACTAACTTTTTGCCTTGGTTGCACTGGTGCGCCTAACTTTTTTATTTAGGTGTACTCAAATTTTTCCTCGTCTCGCGTCGCCTTTAACGCCACAATTTCAAGGTCACCTTTTTATCACGCTCCATATATTCAGATATATTATGTAAATGCTTTTAAACAAGAATAAGGTGTAGTTTTTTTAGTAGTAAAGCACAATTATACTGTATATAAAAATATAAATCTTAAAAAAAAATGTAAAGTGCTGTTTTTACATTGTTCAAGTTAGGGCAGGGTATTGACACAAATTTCACAATTCGATTCAATAGTGATTATTTTGGATATCAGGTACAATACATGGCAAATTTTCTCAAGAAAAACAAATCTCTTAACTAATGCTGTAAACTGGGAGTCAGTTGTAGCCTATAGGCTTCATTAGCCTACTATAATATTGAAGGTAAAAATTACCTGATTTGTACACAAACACTTAAATTACACTTATTTTTTTTTATAATAATAAAGTTATATGAAATATAAACATTTAAATGGTGGCTGCATAAAAACTTGCCAGATTTTTTTCAAACAACCTGCATTAAATATTGAAAAACATTAAAAATTATAATGAATATGTAATATGGTGCATATATTAGGCACAAAGCTCCTCTAGAGTTAATTTTTCTAGATAGCTAACGAGTTTATGGGCACTGGATAATATTTTTTTTTTTTTAGGTAAATGTGACATCACATTACATTGTTTACAATTGTTTTACTGACGTCTTTCCACGGTTGAAACACTAATTGAGCGATTCCATGTAAAAGACATGGATTTCGATAAGTTGTACTCTATCTTTTAACACACTTTCAGATGCTCGTTCATGTTTATTTGGCGCTGTAACTGGTATTATTAAGGCGGAAAAGAAGATCATGTGCGCTCCGCTGCTGCTGCTTCTCTTGAGCTGAGCTGAGCCAGAGCGATCTCACGCCACAGCGTCAATACACTATTTATGTTTTTGAATTTCGTAAGAAAATGGACCTAATTTGAAATCTGAGACTTTGTTTCATATCAATAGTAACAAATCACAAAGATTATTGGGATTTATTGGATGGGATGCTCGCTACAATGTTCCATTCATTCATCAACTGAAAACAGCATAGCCCAACGGTTCGTAAAAATCAATGAGAATCGATTAAAATCGAGAAATCAATATTTTTTACCTAGTTCAAGTAGCCTACATTTTTATAAGTTTCTTCGTCGTCTGTTTTCCTGCGTTTATTTAGCTGATGCTGCTGATTGCCTTAACTGATTCTCTGGTGCTCAGGTGACAGGTCAATTTATTTCAATCACACAGCACGGAGCATTTTAGTCTGAACCACAGCCAATCAGAGGCAAAGACCCGCCCAATCTCTATCTCTGATTGGTTTAGACCACGATATGATCCAACCATGCGTGCAAGGAGAACAAAAGACTCGTTTGTGGAGAGGCAGTGGATGCGATCATGCGAGAATGTTAGGTGCACTGGTGCGACCTAGGAAAAATTGTTGTCGCACTCTTACAAATTTTGGTCGCACTCTAGAGCCCTGCTTTCCTTGAAAGGGACTTTGGTAACACTCGTGTAAGCAAAAATTTATCGAATTTCAAAATTGTCCAAGCAAAATTGGATCCTGCATGACCCAAGAAATCCGTAGACACCAGATCAAGATTTAGACTCGTAGATTTTCTGATCAACGAAAAAAGTTATGAGCAAAATGTTTCAAATCTCATGGCCTGTAGGTGGCGCTGTTCTCAAATTTGGAGCAAACCCTCAGATCAAGGTGTTGATGAAGTATACCAAATTTCATTTCAATAGATCAAAGTTTTGCCAAGATATGGCATATAATCCAATTTGGGTCAACACGGTTAGCTTCACATCATCATAACTTCTGAACAAAAATGAATATTAACATTTTTTGTTCAGACATTTCAGTGTGGCTTGGCCCAGTGATCATCCGAGTCAATTTGGGTAAGAATCTGACAAAATTTTAAATAGCAGTGGTGAAAAAAAAATGGATTACAGTACATTTACAACAGTGACTACTGTAAAAGGGCGGAGTCAAGATGTCAGGCTTTCTTTTTTCTCAGCATGAAAGGCATAATCCAATTTTGTTTGTAGGACAAAATGTTTAAAAGTTATATCAATAAGAATTTTTTAACTGGTGGTGGAGCTATAGAGTTCATCCTAGAGACTGTTGATCAGATTAATATTTAGGAGCACCTCTATAAATGTGCATCATTTTGCTATTCACGGACCATAAGGAGGCCATAGACTCCCATTCGGGATAAAAGAAAAACAATTACAAATGCTACGGCATCTTCGGTGATTATGCAAAACTAAAAGATTTTCTTTCATTTAATGAGGCTTTTCTTCATTATGATATGAGAACATACATATTTTATTTTCTGGGGTGTGGAGGGGCCTATTAAAAATAATTTGAATGCAAAAAAAAAAAAAAACATCAAAGAGCAGCATTAAATTCATTATGTTAATGAATTGCATTTTTATGCATTTTTGAATGAATTGAACCAAACCAAACCAAAAAAAAAAAAAGTTTCCCATATTTCAAGTCCTTTTAAACCAAACAATAGCTGTGAGTGAAGAAAAAGTTGTTTAAAAAAAAAAAAAAACCTATTCACTGATACCCCTCCATCATGGCTGTGAAATCACTTGCACTGAGAACAAAAAAATTGCAGCAGTTCAATTGGGGAATGATATTTGTAAACAGCAGGAAAGGAAATATGACTTTAATTTGGGTCTGTTTTTCAAACAAAGATCTCGCACGGCTTCAGAACACAGACAAGAGGTACAGACGAGACTACTTTACGACACTTCTACGGTGGTCCTTCAAAGCTGAAGGCATCATAAAGTAAACCGGGAAGACCACCGCCAACTACCTCACATGGTTTGAAACGTTGATGAAACCGTCCTGAGTAAAGGCGGATTACCTTGTGGTGCAGAGCTCGAGGAGTCACCGCTCTCTTCTAGATCTCTCTCTCCCGAGTTCAGCCAAACAAGAGGAAGATCTGAAAACAAAAGGGTCAATGGGTTAAAAATTAGCCACTTGTTTCAAGTTACATCTACTGACATTGAAATGCAGTGGAAAATTACAGAGCTCGGACGCCTCGCATGGAAAATCCCTAAATTTATTACACAAAAGGGGGAAAGGCAGGCTTCTGAAAATTTCCATGAAAATTCTATTCTTAGATTAGTAACAGTTGGAGGGCAGAGTGTGGGTTTGGTGTTTGAGCAGAAAATCCTGACGGTTCACCAATATAGATACTTCAGACCAAAGCATTTACAGATTAAATTAAACCGCAGCATAAAAAGCATTAAAAAAACATGCTTTGACATTTATGTAGCGAGCGATGTTGTCTTCCTTAAGAAAGCAGAGGGGGGAAAAACCTAATGGAATTTATGTGGTTCCAGAGTACACATTGAAACCTGGGATTTTATTTCAGTTGTAAACTTAACAATAAAGATTTAGGGTTCTTAAAATGTCTGAAAAATTTCTAGGTCACATTTTTGTGACATAATAAGCCATGAAAACCTGATGATTCATGCACAAAATCACGGCTCTTTGTACTAAAGGTCAGCAACTGAAGTTCTTTCTGAAATGATACGCAACATGGTTTCAAGCAGAGTTCATAATGTCACTATAGAAAAGGGCGAAACAACAAATACTTAGAAATTGACAAATTCATCTACATATTCCAATTCAACCTCTCTAAAAGTGTTATGCTGATAATAACATTTGAAATGAACTTGCCTGAATTTGGAATTAATGTTGCATGAAACTATAAAAATGCAAAAGAGAAGCATTTTCACTAGTGCTCTCAGACTTTTGGAGATGAATTACATTTTTTTTTTTTTTTGCATCAAAGGAATAGTTCACCTAAAAATAACAAATTCAGTCATTTACTCAACCTCATGTTGTTCCAAACCTGCATGACTAACTTAACTTGTAATTTATTTGTCCATACAATGAATGTCAATGGGGTCCAAAGTTGTTTTGCACCCCAGCATGTTTGGTGTCGCACAGAAGTCAGTCAGCCACACAGGAATGACATGAGGATGAGTAAATGACAGAATTTTTCATTTTTTAACGATCCCTTTTAAAGCCTCTTACATGCTGGGTCCCTTTTTCTAAAATGAGAAGATGAAAACCACAGGTCATAAAGCATAGGCTACTGCATTCATTTGTGTATTCAGTACAAGCAAGGGAAACTGATAAAACTATATTTTTATACAACAACATACAAAAAAGGTTGTCCATCTAAATAGCAAGTCTGTCAATGATTACAGCGACTGTTGAATTATTATCAGTGGCGCATTTATACATTTTGTTTTCAGGCACAAATATTGAAAATGTACATTGACATCTTTGTTTTGATTTTTTCCCTCCAGACAGATGAGATTAAAAACAGGACCTGTCATCAAATTTCAGCCGCTGACAGAAAATTACAGAAAATAAAAGACTGCTGCCCAGAACAGGAATTGCTATTTAATGCAAACAGCAAACAAAAATGAATATTTTAATAACAGGAAGAAAAAACCGGATGATTTTTTTTTTCTCCTTCAATTTTCACAATATATACTTAAAAAAATTGAAATGCGTCTTTTAACTGTTACATGCAGTGCTGCTTGAAACCCAGTTTTTCAGTGTATTTAAAAGGAAGTTAAAATATTCTCACTTCCCTCGTGAAACTAGCAAAAATCATTCCGACACCAACACGTGTGAACACTACATTTGACTGCTTTCTGTTCATGATGACACAGGAACAAAATCCCGTGCATTCTGCACCCTCTGTCAGCTCTCACTGAGCATTACAATATTTGCAGTTGGGCTGTGCAAAAAGAAAATAGAAAAATCAATGTGTGTGCGAAAGGAAAAATGCCAGCTGGGAAGAGTGGCTTGTGTTTTCTTAACACATTGGGAAAATTTGCTGCGTTACAAAAAAAAAAAAAAAAAAATGAACACAAAAGTTTGTCTGAAACGACAACAAACGAATCAGTCTAATTCACAAAGATAATAAGAAGTGTCGAATATGTAGAAAAAAAAAAATATGCCTGCAAGCAAAATTAATTGCAATTTCTTAATTTCTCGAAATATCTACCGACAGAGGGCGCTAATTTCTCTGCAAAAACGAAAACGACATTTACACTCTGATTTCATCGAAAATAAAGCCGTCTTACAGTAATCACACTTCCATCACTTTCACCTGCATCAAAGTTCAGCGCGTGGAGTTGTTCCGTGCGCGAGCGAGCGGCTCGAGACAGGCTTTCCTCCCCGTCGCCACAGAAGAGTAGGGCTCAAAAAATTCACAGCAAAATTCAGCAAACATGGCTGCTGCGTGTGCTTTTTGTGTTTTCAGATTCTACCCTACCCCGTCTGATTTCAACTCCACAAATCTGCTGCAAAAGCCTCGGCTCGATCCGAGCACACACACTGCAGGACGCATGCAACAATTCCCTGCAACACTAACTCGCTGCAAAACTTTATTTCGAAAGCAGATCCGCAAAAAGAGAAAAAAAAATTAACAAAAATCACCGGATCCATGCAGTGCACGAACACATTCAGATCACATCTGAGAGAGAATTGGGATTGGATCTTACCGCGCGCACAAACACGAGCTCCGGATGATTGCGATCAAAGCGCCCGTTACATTGTATCATTTGTGAATGAGGAAAGACGCGCGCGCCACTTTGTTTCCTCCCAAAATGATGCGGGTCATGCGGAGAAATTTTCTGGGAATGAAGAAATCCTCCCCTTCGGGTCTCAAAATGACGAAACGAGCGGGTCTTTCCGGGGCATTTTTTTCCTCTCTCTCTCTCTCTCTCTTTCTCTCTCTCTTCTAGAAACAGAGCTCCAGAAATTGTTTTCAGTGAATTTGCTTCTTCTCTTCCCGATGTCTCGATGCTATTGAAATGTTGCGGTCTGCCCCACGGACACACTCATCCGCCATCATGCTAGGGCAGGTTCTCAGTTTGCAAATCCATTAATTTCACACAATGCCTTTATGAAGCTGATATCACGTCAGCTGGCCCGGCGTTTGGGTTAGGAAAGCACAATCATTTACCTGTGGCTTTCAATGCAATAGTACATTTGTCCGTGCAAAAAAAACAAGTTTTTTTGTGTTTTTTTTTTTTTTACATTTATGACCAAACTTATTTTTCTTATCCCTGAATGGGGGAAAAACTATTCTGTTAGACCCAGAAGTCACTTGTTTCACGTTTTTTTTTTTTTTTCGTTTTTTTTTCTTTTTCTGAATTTTAACTATAGACATTTTTTGCAAGTTTTTGTTTTTGCTTTACAGAGATGCCTAAACATGTAGTGAGGGGAAATATTAATGTCTTGATTTACAGAAAATAAAGATTATATCAGTAGCACGTTTTTTGTAGCAAAAACCATGAAAATAGCCACGCTGGAATGAAAGGAATGAAAGGACTTTTATGTGTTCTGTGCTGTTTCCTTTTCCCCTTCTTCACTGCTCGCCCGCAGCGCCTCTAGCGGCCAGTCGGAGGATGGACAGACACAAATGCAATTTATGAAATTTGTCATGCAAATTCTAATTTTCAAAAAAAAAAAAAAAAAAAAACGTGTTTCTGTGAATTCTCATATTTAGAAGCTTGCCAATACAACCTCACACATCTCATATCCTGTAGTATTTTATACAAAATGAAAAAAAAAAATGAATTTGCTCTTTATCCTCCAACACAGATTGTCTTTTGTCTGTTTTTATTTTTGACCCATGATGATGTATTGGTAACACTTTACAATAAGCTCTTATTTGTTAAAAAACTAACAATGAGTGATATATTTTTGCAGCATCTATTAACCTTTGTTAATGTTATAGTTAATTAAAATGTTCATGTCGGTTCACAGTGCATTAAGAAATATTATTAGATACAACGTTTGATCTTAAGTGTATTAGTTAATGTCTGTTGATATTATAAGATTAATAAATTGCTGTTGAAGTATTGTTCATCTTTAAATAATGTGTAACATTTTTATAAAAAGGATATATTTTTTAAATGAAAAATACATGAATGTGAGAGTTTCCTAGTATTTGTGATGTTCATGTTTTGTTTAATGACAGTATCTATATGCACTCAGGCTGACATAGACTAGTTAAATATAGTTAATTTGTATATGTTAAAAAAACATTATCCTGAGAACACATTTTTCTAGTTAAAACCAGAGAAAGCATTCATGCTTAAAACCTTAGTTACTTTTTATTTTATTTTTTTATTATTATTTTTATTTTTTGATAATATGTCTGTTGCTCCCCCTTCCCTGTCTGTTTGTTTGAGTGGATGTTTTTTTTTTTTTAAAGACAATAAAGAGTTGATCACAAAAAAACAAAACCTTACAGTTACTGACTGCACAAACATTGACAAGATTGTGTGTATTTGTCTTTAATCACATTGTAACTGTACCTCATGCCATCAGCTGCATCTGTATTTATGACATCCAAACACACAGAGAAACGACCAATGCTATTCAATTTCAAAGGGACTATTTACAGGCCAGGGTCTCCAGTGGGACGTCCTAACAGTCTCTTTAGATACTAGGGGTGGAACGGTTCATGTATTCGTATCGAACCGAAACGGTACGGGCGTCACGGTTCGGTGCACGAAAGAGAGAGAGAGAGAGAGAGAGAGAGAGAGAGAGAGAGAGAGAGAGAGAGAGAGAGAGAGAGAGAGAGAGAGAGAGAGAGAGAGAGAGAGAGAGAGAGAGAGAGAGAGAGAGAGAGTCATTTTGTTTATACAGATCATTAAACCTGCAAAGTGTTTACTTATATTTGTGTACACTCGCAATAAAATACAACATTGTGCTTTTGTCACACTGTAAACTCTTGTCAAACTGTAACCTACAACTGTCACCCAACCAAAATCACACACACACTGTTTTAAAAGCAAAACATATTTATCCAACTCCATTTCAAAACAGTCTGTGGGTCCCATCTTTTGGACATTCGTCATATTGCATTGGTTTTCATTTCTTGTTCTCGGAGCACTAATCTTACACACTCTACATTGATTAAAAAAGAAAATCGAATGTGTTTTTAATGGTAGTATTATTTTATACAGAAATCAATTATTTATAATTCAGATGAGAATAATGTTACATTGTCAATTAATAATGTTAATTAAAATTAAGGAAAACAAATATATTGATCTGAAATATAGCAAAATAATTTTAAATTAATAGTACAATTACCAAACATATCGCAAGGTCTTTTTGTCTTTTTATTAATTTAATTAATAAACTAATTATATAAAACTATTGTCAGTGCACTACAAATAAACTGGTTCTATGCCTTTATTAATAAAACTTATTTAAAAAATACAATGCCTTCTGCATTTTTGTTTTGCTTTTTCCCTCCATTGTACCGAAATCGTACTGAACCGTGATGTCTGAACCGAGGTATGAACCGAACCGTGACTTCTGTGTACCGTTCCACCCCTAATAGATACAGAGATCTGTCCCACAGACAGTGCTTTGGGTAAAATTGATACTTCACCCAAAAATTAAACTTCTGTCATTAATCACTCGCCCTCCTCTTGTTCCAAACCTGTAAGACTTTCGTTCATCTTCAGAACACAAATGAAGATCTTTTGGATGAAATCTGAGAGCTTTCTGTCCCTCCATTGACAGCTACGCAACTACCACTTTGACACTTCAAAAAGTTCATAAAAAGATTGTAAAACTACACATTGAGTGGTTTAGTCCAAATGTTCTCACACGTCAAGCAGGATCGGTTGAGCTTCTGTTTATGTTCGCTGAATATCTGAATAAAATCCTAAATTAAATCTGTTCATCATATAAAGTGATCGAGTCCCTTCAGAAAATGTGGACTAAACCGCTCAATTCATATGGATTAGTTTTACGATCTATTTATTAACTTTTTGCTTTGGAACGACTTGAGGGCGAGTAATTAATTGTGTAAATAAAAGTAAATAATTGTGAAAAAAATACCAAATCTGCTTAATTAAATGCACGTGACAACTAGCCCCGATCTCCCTTTTATTTGAAATAACCATTTAAAAATATAATTGAATGCAGTTAACATAGGGTTTATATCTACTGTAGGAAGACTTGCACACATAGACTAAAATATTTTGTGCAAATTTGCTCAAGATCTTTTGAGCTGCATGGATGGAGACTATTTTTAAACTGTAGAGTGAAATATCTGTACAGTAATTGATTAAACAGACTCTTTGTTAGAAAGCACATTTATGACTCCTGATGGTGTCCTTTATTTGAGCCTCTTCAGTCCGGTTTACAGTATTTGTGGGGCATGTTGTCATACAGTATATGAGTTTAATTGACATGATGGGAACCAGTGTTTATTGACAATATTACGGTGGCCGAGAGAGCTCAACGCACTGCAAAAAGAAAACTCATGCGGATAGAAAAAACACCCGCAAATTAAGAAAACATCGTCATCAGTTTTTAAAACACATGTGCGCTCCAAATACTCACAACACAACCAAACACAGAAACGCAATGCAAATAGCACAGACCACAACGGACATGTTTCCAGGGGACCCCAATAAGTGACGAACCCGGCTGGGACGTGCTTAGCTCAAAGTCTACTTATTTTATTTTATTTTTTAAACTTTTTTTTGTGTGCAAAATATACAGAAATGACATGTTTATGACATATAACTTTGTATACAATATATAAAATGTATCAACAATATGTTCAATGTCACCAGAATACAAATGAGAAAAGAAGAGTTTACAATGAGCTTTCAGATAGCTGAAAAAAAAATAAAGATAGCGAAAAAGACCACGACGGTAAGATATTAATCTATACATCAGTTAGACTACATTGTACAAATTTTGTCATGGTATGTGTAAATAAGTTTCATAAGAAATGTTATGCAGGGTCCAAGGCAAGTTTTAAAGTTGAGACACTCACACACAGATATATAACGCATATTTTAAAAACTTTTTTGTATAAAATGTATATTTATTTGCAACAGTTATGTTAACAGCAATAATAATGTCTGTCGTAAAAAAAACAGCTATTCAGCTGATGGACGCCGTGCTGCGTTGTCATGGCAACATGTGAAAATCACAGATATATAGCTAATCTAGATGTGTATATATCTATGGGTGAAAATAATGAGGAAATTAGTCTTTCGCTGCTCCCTTCACCGAGTGCGATCCACACGGCTACATAATGGCACACACTAGTGCCCTGCTCACTCCAAAGTGCCCACTTCAAGGGCTCTGCCATCTGCCCTTCGAAGGGAGTAGGGCATAGGGAAGCTCACGAGCTATAAGCACATCCCAGCCGGGTTTGTCACTTATTGGGGTCCTCTGGAAACATGTCCGTGTTTTATCTTGAATAAAACACAGCTATTGACCAATCAGAATCAAGGACTAGAACTAACCGTTTACCAGAACAAAACCTGGAACAGTTTACTCTATCCACCTTTTTCCCTACTGCCTTTATGAGGCACACTTCTAGTTTGGAGAAATCCCACTCAAAAAGACTGAAACAAATCATTCAAATCATAAAGTTGTGCTACAAATAATCCTTATCCGTCAGTTTGACTGAATGGGCTGTACAACTTTGTTCATGTTCTTCTTATGTTCAGACTTAAAGAGAATAACTTAACGCTTGGTACTGTATTATTTGGAAGCTTGTTTCCATATAATGAATGAAAAATAAAAAAGGTAATTGAGACTTTTTATCTCACAATTCTGACTTTATTTTTCAGAATTGCGAGATATAAAGTCAGAATTGCGTGATATAGAGTCGAAATTGTGTGTTGTAAAGTCAGAAATGCATGATATAAAGTCGAAATTGCGTGTTGTAAAGTCCGAATTGTGAGATATAAACTATTCTGAGGGGAAAAAAGTTAGTCTTTTTTTTTTCATTAGAATTGGCCTGATAACCCGCAATTGCGAGTTTATATCTCATAATTGCGACTTTATTTCTCAGAATTGCGACTTTATATCTCAGAATTGCGACTTTATATCTCAGAATTGCGACTTTATATT